AAACACAGAAAAACGCACACAAACATATATGCCATGAGTGAAATTCGAACCCACGATCCCGGCTTCCGAGCGAGCGAAGACAGTGCATGCCTTAGACCGCTCGACTACCGTGACCGGCAGCATTTTCTTCACAGTCTGTGAAGACTGTGCATATGACTGTCCGAATATCCCTGTAACAGGCCGTGGAGGCCAATAGGGTTGTCAGACGTCGAGTTTACCACATTTTCTAGACAACCGACTCATAGATGGCGGTAAGCTTCTCAGCCTTACGCACCAGCCGCCCTTTACCTCCAGGAAGATACCTGGTACTCATTTCTGTTAGAGGCTGAGTCGATCCGAGGGCCACAGTGCGACTGGAAGGATTAGTTAAACTGAAAATACAATAATCAGGAATCGAGCCAGCGACCTTCCGGCGTGTAGCACAGTGCCTCAACCAACTAACCTACCGCGTGCCTCTATGATTCTCGAAATAAGGCGCAATCATTTCCCTGGATAGCACTAACCTTTAGCCTTGGCCGCGCCATAGCTCAAGCGGTTAGTCAATGGCTTCCCACAGCGGCGGTCCGGGTTCGAGCCCGCGTCTGGTCAAGTGGGTTTTGTGGTGGACAAACTGGCGCTGGAGCAGGTTTTTTCCGAGTACTTCGGGTTCCCCTGCCAATCGTCATTCCACCAATTGCTCCACAATACCCTCACCTATCATCTGGGGCTGGTACAATAGGCCAGAAGTGGCCGCAGCACAAGGGACTTAGTGCCACCCCACTAGCAATAAAAAAAAACCTTTAGCCTTTGTAATGGAAACTCAATGTGTTTCTTTTCTGTTTTATGTGAGACAGAAACTGGATTTTTAAACAATATTTGGATGAAGTCCATGCAGCATTCCTCCACCCTCCGTGGTCATGCTTTAGGAGAAACAGTAAAATACTTCATCTGCTATAGGGACGAGGGAGCATCATCGTCAAATAGTGATGAGCTCCATTATGTAATCATTAGAAAATTACTTGAGTCTATTTTCAGCGTATTTCCGGTATTCAGGACTGTTCTTCAGTAACGTTGCCTACACAAGTCCTCAAGTTCCTTGCCTTAGTACACGTAAATTTATTCCAGGAATTTAATTGTTTAAGCACTATGCATGAAGTCGTATGGGGGAGTGGAGGTATAGGTAAACCAGTCTTTATCTGGGCATTAGACGGAAGTGAATGGTCAGTCTCATGATCCTGCAGCTTCTCTCCTGGAGAAACAACCACCGGTAAAAACGGCTGGGAGACTCCCGGAGTCACTCTGGGTGTTAGTGTCGAAAGAAATATCTGTTTCCCTTGCCGGGGATCGAGGAGTAGCACAGGCGATAATGATGATGATTCGTCTCACAGTATTCGTCACCGAAATTGGCAGTCGAGTTGGGAGAATCCCTTTTTTCGTATACCAAAGGACCTCGCTTCAAATGACCGCCCAACAATAGGCTATCTTGACAGAGGTATTCGTGATATTTCTCTGTCCCTCCAGAAAAACTATAAATAACATTTCACTCGGATGTTATATGGGTAAGAAACTTGGTGTATCGCTCTAAATGAGAAGGGCGAGGGAGCGAAAAATACAAAGCGAGTAGCTTTGAAATTCTCACTCTTCACAAAATAGCATAAGGCTGGTCAAAGCGAAGAGGCATGAGATATAACAAAAGTGTACGGAGCTAATACGGCCACAATATGGCGGTATATAGTACGGGATTAAACGCAGGAGATCTTAGGTAGACAAGTGTTCAATTCAATTATACCCGGTAATGCAAAGGAAACCGGATTCTCCGAATGAATGGCATCTAACTGTTGCAGATCCACTCACTATGTGAAGATATGTGCGGGGAATCAATCAGAGGTCACCAGCAAACGCGGCATGTCACCTAGGCGCGTGTCATCGTAGCCTGTGACACCGCTGCTGCTCGTTTGTTATATACTCTCTGGTTGCTTCGTTTCTGGCCACTGAACTGAAATACGTGGTATGGAAGAACTGCCAAGACCTCTCTAATTCCTTCAACAGAATCTTCTTGTCTGCAGACTGGAATTACATAACTTACTTACTCATGGAGCTGAGCCCTTCTGGAGGAGCCGCCAATTCTACAGCTACACAAGAATTTCCTAGCATTTTATGGAACCCGAAGGTTCATTACCGTGTTCACAAGAGCCCTCCACTGGTCCCTATCCTGAGCCAGATCTATCCAATCCATATCATCCCATCCTATCTCTCTAAGATCCATTCTAATATTGCCCACCCACCTACGCCTTGGTCTTCCCTGTGGTCTCTTTCCTTCTGGCTTTCCCACCAATATCCTATACGCATTCCTCGTCTCCCCCATTCGTGCTACATGACCTGCCCACCTCATCCTACTTGACTTGATCATTCTAATTATACTTGGAGAAGAGTACAATTTATGAAGCTCCTCATTATGCAGTTTTCTCCAACCTCCTGTCACTTCATCTCTCATCGGTCCAAATATTCTCCTCAACACCCTGTTCTCAAACACCCTCAGTCTATGTTCCTCCCTTAATGTCAGAGACCAAGTTTCACACCCATACAAAGAACCATTGGAATTACATAATACTCACGAAAATAATGAACACATCTGAACCGCAGAGCCACAATAATTCTGAAGGTCACTATCCCACAGGATGTGAAGCCATTTAGTCTAGTAGAAAGGTACTGTCACATGAGGAAGTGACGATAGACGGGGTTTGGTTTGTTAATCGCATTTACTGACCACTTTAACACACGACTCGGGACTATATACATCACTATAGCAGCCTCACTGGTTTACACACTCTACAAAAACAAATTCCGTGGCCTGTAGTCCGTAAGCAAACTATACAGACCGAGCGACCGCCGCTTGTCGGCGAAGTTAGTGTCAACTTTAGCGGATAGATGGTGTCGCGTGGTTAGCGCAACGGATCCCCACGGCCGATAATCTCGGTTTTCGCCATTTCCTTGAAACAGTTCCTCAATTGTCCTCACGAGGTTGAGTGGGCCCCGTTCCAGACCCACTACTTCTCAGAAATTCTGGTAGCGCCGGGAATCGAACCCGGGACCTCTCGATCTGTAGGCAGGAACTCTGGCTACTAGACCACAGAGGCGGTCTACATTCTACAGATCAATGTAAATGCAGTACACATAACCTTCTATGTCGTTTCTTCACAGACTTACTAAGTAACTGCAGTGCCGGCGGCCATGTCACACCAAACCTCCTAGTCTTCGCTAAAGCCTACTGCTTCCGTATATAATGCAACAATTAAAACACTGATTCACAGAGAACACAGAGAATCCAAAAGAACACTTGATACGAACAATCATGAAGAGAACACACCAATGAAATACAGAAACAGCTGCATTTCAAAGAAGTTATGAAGAAGAAAACACCAATGACGTAACGAAAAAACGATATTCGATTAGTATGCAGTGCGTTAGACTACTTATAAAACTGTTGCCTGAAGATGGCCTTATATGGCCGAAACATGTAGCACTGTGATATGCATATATATTCTAATAATTTAATCATTTTAATAACGTCTTATACACATAACGACCAATCTATGGATTAAGTGTGAATCGGTGCTATTAATTGTTGCGCTATAGACGGAAACAGTACACTGTAAGTTACACCTCAATGCAACAGGATGCTCAAATATAATATTACTACTCCTGACGCGGTAGCGTAGTTGGTTGAGGGGCTATGTTACAAGCCGCAAGGTCGCGAGTTCAAGTCCCGATGAGGTCACTGAATTTTTTTCAATTGGTTTTTTATTATTTTTCCTTTTCTCTTTCTTTATAGCATGCATCCTGCTGTGTCATTTACGAAAAGATATATTTTGCGACATTCGGACAACAGATAATACTAGTATAATAAAAATATATGAAGTGTACATTTCAGCTCTGAACAAAAATGAAGATATAAGCAGGAAAGTCTAACATGCGGCAAATGAGTTTCATCCAAAATGACATACGAGCGAATTCGGAGACACTAGTTGCAAAGCACAAGTACAGAGAAACAGGCAGCCATTTTGTGTTATGTCTATAGAGTATGACGCTGAAATAACGAGCCGAACCAGGAGAAACGAAGATGATAAAGCCGAAGAAAAGGAGGAAGGGATTACACTTGTGATGTTCCTAATGAGAGTGAAGACGAAGATGATTAGGAAGACCAGGCGTTTCCTCCGAACCTTTCAGATTTTAAACCTAGCGAACTTTGAAAATAATTTCAAATAATACACGTATACCAAATTAACAGATTTCACTCTACAACCTACACACACAATCATGGGACTATGTAATGGAAGTGAACGGTAAAATTGTCCCTGTGCTTAACTAACTAAGCACTACGCCATGATGACGCATGGGGGAGTGGATGTATAGATCCACGTATTTTTGATCTCGGCACCAGTTGGACGTGAGTGGTCAGCTTCACGACCCGGGCTCTTTACCACCCAGGAAA